TTACGAATTGGTTTTTTTTTTTTTTTTTGGTGTTTTGGGCCTCTTGTTTATTAAAAAATTAGGCCCAAATTCATTTTCATGGAGTGTGGACGGTGGACCTATGGCTCTATTGAAAATCAATTATCAAATCCATTACCCAATACCCACCATTCATGTTAACGGAATAGCATTTTCCAATTCCACGCAAACCCTTCCTCCCTCCTGACTCCGGCTGCCCTGCGAACTTAGGCCTTAGCCGCTTCAGCTTGCTGCTGCTGCCGGCGAGTCTCCGGTCTCAATGACACTGGTAAGCCTCCTGCCTCTCTTGATCTTTGTTCTTTTAATTCATTTTTTAATTTATCATTTATGAGTTATGAGTTATGATTTATGAGTTATAAATGAGATTTGTGATAAATAATTCAAGAAAAAATCCCTGCCTACTACCTAGTTCCTACCTAAATGATTATTGGAGAATTCTGCATGAATTTGAAAAAATTTTGATTGATAAATTGGGACAAATTTTAATTTATTTTGTTAATATATTGATGCCTGTTTAATTAATTTAATTGAAAAATGATTATTGGGGCTCTGTTTTTCAAGTTAAAATGTTCTTTGTTTTTGAACCAATTTTAATTGAACTATAAATTGGGGCATTTTGCAGAAGATGGAACGATTTATTCAACTAAAACAAAAGTCCCTATCTATTTCTTCTCGTTTTAGTGGTGCATCTAGTCTCGCCACCGATTCTAGTCGAGTTCACGAATTGTTAAATAACAAAATAAACGACCTGCTACTATAGACGTTGACTATCGCCAGTTAATGGTCAACGTCCGCCCTAGCTAAACTTTAATCCTGGATTCGCCAAAGAAGGTATAGCAAATGGCAAACTCATTGCTCCGTAGTCTCCGTAGACTCTCTATCCCTCTGCTTCTCAGTCCTCCTCTTTCTTTCAGGTAATCTCTCTTCGTCTCTCTGAGTGCGGTAGCTTTTTTGTTTTTATATTATTTAACAAATGCTTAAAGGTGCAACCTTTAAAGCAAAAGGTACCACGCGTTCCATTTTATTTTCGCTCTTCAGTTATTGGGTTCTTCAATTTCCAGGCCAATGCTCCAAATCCCAGAACCCACTGTTATGCTTGCAAGGTCGTCATTACATTTTCCCGGGAATCCACAAAATCCTTGGCGGGGGATGTTTTTTCTACAGCTGAGAAGCTTGAGTCAAGGGTCTGTGAGTTTGGTAATATCACCACAAGGTAAACCCAAGTTTGAGACTTGTGAAACGGAGCCTCCAAAGAAGGAGAAATGGAAAACAAAGAAAAGGCTGAAGCTACAGAGGAAGAGAGAGAAACAGAAGAGAAAAGATGCCAATAAGAGAGACCCTAGAAGGCTTGGAATCAAAGGCAAGAAGAAGAGGCAGAGGTTTGCTAATGCAGAGGAAAGGATCGAGTACAAGCTAGAAAGAGTATACCAAAGTCTCGTATTTTTGTTGTTGTATGCTTGTAATCATGTTATGCTCTAAGTCCCTTTTAGTTGTGAATGATTTTATGAGACATATCTCACATGAGAACCATTAGCGTATGACATTCGTAGATGACAATGTTTTAGTTGACGAAATTAAGTGGAAGATGAGTTGTAGCGCAGAACACTTCGAAATCTAAAGTTTTGATGTTAAATTGAAATAAGATGAATATATATTATATTCTTTCACTAATAAGAGTAAAGATGATAGTTGTCATTGTTCTAGAGATCCATTGTTATAGGTATTGAAATGTGATTATTGATGAGGGAAAAAAGATTTGAATATTGTGCACAGGAGAAGAGGATGAAGAAGTTTTACATGGACTTTGTATGATAAGAAGATATTACTATGTATATAATGATTATTAGACTAGTAATGATATACATACTCAGTTTTGGACTGCTTAAAAGAAAAACGTTCATAAGTGTACGTAGCAGAAATTAAGATGTTGACGTGGATGTGTGGCCATATTGGAATGGATAAAGTAGGAAATAAGGATATGCTTCAATAATTGGAGTGAAATTAATTGGAAGTGAATTAAGAGAAGTAGAGCATAACTTAGATGGTGAGTCAATTCTTGTGTAAGAAACTCATATTCGTAAGAGGAATGCGGTTCCAGTATAACCATCTAAAAGGGGAGAGATGGAGACAGAGATACAAATTTAACATGACTTGATGCAGTTACTGATAACAAATTGCATTCAACTTTTCAATAGATGTAGCGTTGTATCAAATAGAGCGGTGAAAAGATTTATGTGTTGAACCTAAGTTTATTGGGATAGAACTCAGCTAATTTTTATTTGTACATATATAGTTGCTATGACTTAATGTGCTTTCTGATGTTATTGTTTGTTTTTTATGACCTTTTGCGTTTCTCTTGGACTTGGCACTAAATGTTTATTCATATAGATAAGAGAATTCATTATTGGAATTTGGAGATTGGTTGAGATGATGGTATTTTAGTTTCAGATTTTTTAAATGCATTTTTTTTTATTACCTTGAGATGACCTTTTGTTTATTCAACGTCGGGAGTTCAAATCCCTCCTCTCCAAAACTGGCCCAAAAAGATACCACTAGCTTGACAGAAATAAATAAACGAAACTACAAGCAGCATCTTCATTGCCTGGAATACTTGATTACTTTTGGAGGCCTTCAAGCTACTAAAGAGACAAAATCATAAACTGAACAGAAGTTCAATGTTTTCTATTTCTAACTGTGAGGCTCTAATTCACTGATGCTAATCATATTGCTATTGTTTTTATGGGGCACAAAATCATGGCCGTGTGAAATCTATGCAATCCTACATTAGCATGCTTTCATTTTTCATGTTTTCAAATTTCCGAAAGCTTTACTGAATAAAAAAACTCATCAATGATGTATTCCAGATTACAAAATTTTGCCAATTTTCAGGCAAAAATTAAGGAAGCCTTACTAATTGAAAGGCTGAAGAGGTATGAAGTTCCCCAAGCTCAGGGTCCTGTGGTAGAGCCTTATAAGTTATCCGGTGAAGAACGATTTTATATGAAGAAAATGGCCCAGAAACGGTCTAATTATGTTCCAGTTGGCAGAAGAGGAATCTTCGGAGGTGTTATTCTCAATATGCATCTGCATTGGAAGAAACACGAAACTGTCAAGGTCATCTGCAAGCCTTGCAAACCTGGTCAAGTACATGAATATGCAGATGAGATTGCTAGGCTGAGCAGTGGGATTCCAATCCATATAATTGGAGATGACACCATAATCTTCTATCGAGGAAAGAAGTACGTGCAACCAGAGGTTATGTCACCAGTTGATACATTGTCTAAGAAAAGGGTAAGTTTCTTCTGCAATCTCAAGCTTCGTGATGCTTCTTTGAACGAGCAAAATAATTGCACACTTGTTAATGATGTCACGGGAAGATTATCATCCACGCGTCTTACTTCTTACGCATGCCAATATATGTTATATTTGAAACTTGTTTATTTTTTCACGTGATGATGACTTGGCAACTTCCTAAGCTTGTAAGAGTTAAGAAATTTCATCGTATAGTTTTCATCAGTTTTCTTGACATTTTGACATGAGCATTCATATATTGAGTTTGTCACGTTGAAACCTCAAATTCATTCTCCCTTCTGTTTGTTACAGCACAAGAGAAGAAATTACAATATCCTTTTAAAGCAAAATCCTACTCGACTGCATGTTCCATCTGTGGGCTGCATACTTGGAACCTTTACAAAACCTGTATCTGTGTCTTGAAGTTAGGTTGTGATGCCTTTTATTTAAGCCCCTTTCGACTTCTATACCGTCTTCTTGTGAATGATTAAATGTTGGGTTTCTTAAGATTATTTTTATAGAAGGATTGGTTTACTGGGGATTAGTGCATTTCTCATAACAGGCACTGGTTTAATCAATGCTCTAGAAAAGAATAATAGTTATGACATAATGAATTGATCTTCAAGAATCTTTCCCTGGGATTGCTTGGAAGCACACGTGTATCAATAGAAAAATAATGCATATTGTATTTTCAAACAGTTCCTTCATGCATCGAATATCTACTACATTTATTAAAGGATATCACAGTTCTCTTGTTGCAACTTTCATCTTTGAGGATTAAGATTTGGGCTTTTTGTTTGATATATCCATTTCAGATCTCAGTTGTGATGGAAAATGATTAATTTTCTTTTCCTTTTCCTGGGATAGAGGAAATCTTGTTCTCTAGATTTTATCCCTCATTTGACTAGTTTAATTAAGCTTATCTCTTACTATGAATTTTTGCATTCTATTCTCTTATAGAAATATATCCACCCAAAATCAGAACATTTTACGATTTCATTTTTTTAAAAAAATTGGGAACATTTTACATTTACATGCCAAATCCATTTGTAGTTAACCATATAAAATTGAGAAACTGATGCCTACTTATTCAAACTTATAATGAAACATCTATGGAATTTGAGATTGCGAGTGATGTGTCGAGCATAAAGGTGACAATTTCTCAAAGTATGTGGCACAAGGTGGTGTGACAAATAATGGGAGTTTTTATCGCTACTGCTGTTACTATTGTGGTGTGACAAATTTATTACTACTGTTGCTACTATTGTGGTTCTCGTTATTGCTATTATATTTTTTGACATGTATTTTAGATGCATGTATCTTTCTAGGTTTTTCCAGTTTTGGTTTATCTATTCATAATGGTCTCTGAGAGCTTTGGGCTGTCGTTAAGAAAGTTTTGAGAAGTGGGCGTGGAGTTGGGGGTTGGTTTTCCACTATACATTTGTAGATATGCTTGACAGTTGACTCGCATATTTTTCTCTTCTTTCAGGCATTGGAAAAATCCAAGTATGAGCAATCGCTCGAGTCTGTAAGGCGCTTCATTGCAATCGCAGAAAAGGAACTTGAACTATATTACAGACATGTTGCTCTTTATGGTGATCCAAACAATAGGGATCCGAAATCAATCCTCGATCATCCAAAAATCAAACATGAATCAAAGAAGGTTGAACTTATTAACAAGAATATTTCTTCAATGACCGAAAAAGGTTCTGAAGTTATTTCAGAGATGGAAGCTGATTTTACTGACCATGAGCTATCTGAACTCGAAGATTATGACGTTAATGAAGACACCATTTCTTCAGATGAAAGCACGGGAGATAACTCCTTTAGTGAGCAAGAAGATGTTGCCAGTTGCTCCAAGTCACCAATAATAGATGAATGTAAAGAAAATTCTGGCTATAAAGAAACTCGAGAAACTTTAATATGATCTGTATCTACCTTCTATAAGCATTCTAGGAGCTATTTATTCTGCTACAGAATGGCTGTATAAATATAGTTTCATGTGTCATTTTGCTTCCACACACACAAGTAGCAGATTATACAGTAAGCATCGTTTTGATTTTTTGGTGGGGATGGGGAATATAAACTATGCTCTTGTTTGGGTTCCATTATCTGAAAAATACATTTTTGTATTTCTTATTTTTAATCACACATTTTTCAATAAAATAATATTACACGTAAATTCAAAATTTTCCCTTATTTTTTAGCCATGTATTCTTTCAAAAATCACTATTCCAAAATCCGTCTTTAGTAGAGCCCAAATAGGGGCTATATATTATTGAAATATCATCACGCACAAATGGTGCAATGTTCAAAGAAATAAAATCGACTGAATTGTATAATCGGAGAATAAATAGCGAAGGAAGTTAGATTGTGGTTTACTTTGTTCTTGTTATGGGGGAACAAAGCTTCAAGAATTACACCCATCCTCTTGTAAAGGAGCTACTATATCCAAGGGAACCTGGGCGTCACGTTCAGCCATTCCCACATGCTGGTTGTTCCTTTGTGCAAACAGAAGGCTCTCCTGAAGTGCTATGGTCTCTGCGTCTTCCGGTGAAGAGACCACCCACCTGTTTAGCAAAGGCTGCAATAACAATTCCTTTATGGTTCCAATGTATTTAAAAATATCAAATAAAAAGAAAAATTAACAAAAATTTATAAGGACACATTTATACACTATTAGATTAGGGAGTAGGATTAGAGTGGATTAGGAGACATTGTCTTGATACGATATTTATGATACCTATTACAAGACGGGAAAATTACCTCCCAACTTGAATTTAAAGATTACATTTCAAAAAAAGGGGGATTAAATTTTATTTTCACAAATCAGGTCGTAAATAGGATTAAATTAATCAATCATTCATCCCCACGCCACCCACCCCGAATTCATCCCCAAAGCCCAAAGAGCAATTCTGCTCGTACGAGGACCAAATTGATTTCATTCTCCATTCTCTCTCTCTCTCCCTCCACCCCCACTCTCCCTTTTCGGCACCGCACAACAAGGTGACACTACTGTTGCAAGCAGCGGCGCCTTGCTTTCCATGGGCTCAACGGTGCCGCGCCTTCAAGGTGTCACTTGGTTCTGGTTTTTATCTTTTTGAAGGATAATGAAGAATGGAGATGATGAAATTATTACCCCGGTGAGGCGTTCGAGCAGACTGAGGAACAGGTCATTTATTGACTAGATTGTGAGTAAGGTATGGTTGTGGGTGTAAGGATGACTGGATTGATGTGGTGGTGGTGGTGGAGGCATAGTCAGCGCAGCTGCAGAGTAAGAAGGCTGCAACTGGAGTTGGTGGTGTCGGCAAACCTTTTTTGATCTATGACTAGATCGCGATTTGACTACTGAGTAGTTCGTTGTAACTATTTGTGATCGATTGTACCCTTTTGTAACTGGTGAATTGTGACTCGTTGTGACTAATTGTGACTTGACATTCTGAAAAAAATTTGGAAGTTGGGAGTGTGTGGATGGGGTGTGTAGGTTGATCGGAACATGCGTTGAAGTGGTCATTGGAACAGTTTGCCGGAGGGATCGTCTAATAGCCGCCAGAACGGGAGTTGGGGTGATCGTCGAGAGTCACCGGAGCGGCCACCAGAGTAATAGTCGAAATAGTCGCCGGAACAGTAGCCGGATCGTCGCCAGAGCGATGCCGGAAATGGAGGGAATGTGGTGTAGTGAGGTGAAGGGGTGGGTGAGGTGTCATGGGGT